AGAGCACAATATGCAGGGGCGTCAAGTATGTACTTTTGAAAGATATCTCATGGTTCAATTGATCCAACCCATTGAGCCATATCATATGGTATATGGATTACAAGAGAACGATATACACCAAACTTTTCTTGTCCATTACCAAAGCGAAAAGAAATATGCTTCGGCAAGGTATTTAACAAAGAAACACTTTATGAGCTTCCAACAGCGTTTTTCGCGGCGTTGATATATTCGCTTGCGTGGATATCGTATGAGGGTGCGAATCCACCGAGGAGAGTGAAAATGGTGGTAATAATAAGACCAAAGACAATAACCTTGCGGAGGACTGGTCGACGGGAACCGAGATCTGCCCATTGGCGTCCACCTTCTGCAAGATAACCCTTGATCTTCTCAGCGCCAAGCTTGAACCAAACCATTCCACCGAGAGCAATAGTATATCCGAAGCATTGAAGTGGAGTGATGAAAGTTCCCCAGATGATGACGGAAAGACAGACGAGGAGAATATCTTTCAAAACACCGCAGAGAGTGAAGATGAGAACGGAGGTTTTGCCAATCTGCATATGATGTTAGTAATGAATTTTGTGTTTACCAAATGTGATTTTCTTACCAAGAATACAACGGAAACGTTCAACATGAATGCGCACATGGCATTGGCCAAAAGAGTCCAGAATCCAACATTGTAGAAATCGCCCATGGTCATGGTTGGAATTTCCCAGAAAAGTGCAACGCAGAAGTTCATGATGGCACAAACTGGAGCGAAATAGTAAAGGGATACCAATGGGTCCATCTTGAACTCGGCAGAGCTGAGAAGTCTTTGAACCATGACAATTCGAATAGCCTCGAAGATGATACCTCCAATTTGGAAAAGAACACCAATGACAACAAAGTCAATTTCTCCAATGGATGCGATAACGACACCGATAACAATGAAGGAGACGTTGAAGAGGGTTTTCATGTTGGGTTCAGCAACTCCAAGGGCCCAACTGGTGAGCAAGACTGCGACAGGAGTAGTGGCCTACAATCGAGCGTTAGCACATTGACATTCCATCTCTAGCTATTCAACATACCTTGAGCATTTGAATGAAGGAAACACTGAGATAGAGATATGTCAAGTTTCCGCAGATCAAACTCAAACTGAAGAAGATTCCAATAGGCACGATGGCTCTCAAGTATACACGACCCGTCATCTTAACCGTCTTTCGTCCATCGAGAAGTTTGGTCGTTCGTGCGAGAATTTGCGTCATCAAAGTCGCAAATCCAAGATGCCATGATGTGAGGAAGATTGGGAAATCTGCAAAACTGTTAATTCATGGTCGCGAGCAGAAATGGTGCAATCGCAGGAGGCGACCAAGCTAGGAAAAACGTACGAAATCCGACCGTTGATAAGATCCATTTGTTGAAGAGAATAACACTGGAACTGAAGAAAATCCATGTCCTTTCGAGAAGATGTCAGCGAATTGTTTGTTTGTTTTGATTGATGATGAGATTGTAACTTACATAACATAAAATGCTGGGTGTACAGCAGCCTTTGGAGGCTCTGATTTCTCGGCGGCAGGATTAACTGTAGGGAGGACAGGGGAATCTGCCGACCTGGAGATCTCTCCGGAAACTCGAACCTTTTCTTCAGCCATGATCGCGAGTTGTGTTGTTGAAGAATTGGTGGAATGATTCTTCAAATGTGCTGGAGATGTTTAATGTGAAAGATCACAATCTAGATGTAAGGACAATAATAAGGGTTGTACGCGTTTTCCTGTGTGCCAAGCACTAGATAACGATCGGAAAGGCTAGAATTCCCAATGGAGAACGATTATCGACTTTTTTTTCTCGCTATGATGCGAAATTGTAAGACTTAAAGGATTGGAATTTGGTATTATTTTACCAAAGGAATAAAATAATGAAGAAGAGGTGAAGAAGTCAATTGAGAGGAGAAAAGATTGAAATGGCAAGAGAAGAAAGGATTGAAATGAGTGAGAGAAGTTGGCCCTTATGTCCTTATGTCCTTATGAATGGATCTACTGGGGACTCAATAATATAATCAGGTACCTCTTTGATTTGAGGTCAAGTTCTCGACGTGACAGGTACAGACAGATATCTAGATAGTAGTACTAGGTAATAAGAGGTAGATAGTACACATTATACCTAATATCTACGTACTCCAGTTGGAGTCCTCCGTTAAAATGGATACTGGGTAGTAAGGTTCAAAGTGGATATTCATCTACCCGGCTAGAAAACCTCTGGACCCAGATTAAATTACACATCATACGTAACTCTCTGTCAAGAAGGTCAATAATCAAATATATTATAATTAACTATAAGTTAAGTTAATCCTATCATTATCATTATCATTATCATTATCATTAGTTATCATCCTCGCTCTCACGCTTATTGTCCCTCATGTACTGGGTCGCTTACCTAGGTAGGTAGGTAACGTCTGGTGTGGTTAACCGGAAAAGTATATTTTCATTATCGTTTCCATTCCTAGGTAGATACTAGATATTCATCTACTTCTTCATTCGTTTCCAAGTTATTTATATATTCGAAGCTTGATTAGAAGCCAACCTCTTCTCGAAGGTTTCAAAGAAGCGAATACAAAAGCTTTAATCCTTATTTAGATGCAAATGAACATTGTCTAACAGCATTGGGGATAATGAATCTTTTCGTCTATTAGGGAGGTCCCGACAACGAGTCGTCCAGATCGAATTGAGCATACCAATCAGGTAGCTGAATAAAGTAGGTACCAGTATGTATTGGATAGCTGTGGCTTGAGCTTACTAGTTAGAGTACGCCGTCCGAAAAAAAAAGGGCCGGCAAACGCGCAATCACTTTTGATCTTCCCCCCTTTTTTTTATTTGAAGGCAATGGCAGGGTTATGACAATGAATGCTATGTATTTGTTAATTATGTATTGGGGTGCAATCCAAATTATTAGAATGACCGTAACTCAATTCGACGATTGTATACCAAAATCAAGTACAACATCCCGCTGCTCTTCATCAAATCATCGTCATGAATGTTTGGGTCGTCCAAGGTAAAAAAAGAGAATTCTATTTCCATCACAGTGACATCGTTACACAGCCTTCTGATCATCGAATATGCGATGACTTGTTAGAGAGAGATATTGAAGCTTTTGGCAGTAGATCTACAACCTTTTGACTCTAAAATGTACTCAATCTCAGCCTCGTCATTTGGAAAAGGTGATACCCATACCTTGTGTCCCTAAGCCGTTTGTTGTGAAGCTCTGGCGCCACCCCCTGAATAAATCTCTTTGCTTTCCTTCCCCTTGCTCGTCTGCGAAGATCAAAAGTTACACCAAGAGATCTGTCCATGGCATCATCATCATTGGCCTTCTTGGCCCCCTTGTTCACTCACGATATACTCAAATCTAAATCTAATTAATTGGTCCCATATTGACGTTCTCCAGAGGGGTAACAAGAGGGACCAAAGCTCAATGTTGTAAATTGGCTACTCCCGTGCTACTGTATGATAATTTGATTGATTTACTTGAGAGATTAGTCGAATGTGCTGATCCGTTTCATGTATTTTTCTGTCAACGTCAATCCTGGTGTCTGCCACTGGATGGCCAGATAAATGTGGACTTTCGCGGATAGTCACCGCAAAAAGGTCGGTCTAGCATATACATCGAACTAACTTTTTCCAAAGTTGTGGAGAAGTTCAACTCGTGAGCTTGTCTCAGAGATGAGATCCGGAAACCCTAATAGACATGCTGATACGATTATTGAGGATATTCCCAGTAATCTCATCCTCGCCTGAAGTTTACTTGCAACCGATTTTCATTTGTATCAGACTTCACACCTTTTTATATCGCTCATGATGTTTGGAGATCGGCGGATTATCCATGTCGATATTCATTTGATGAAAGTCTGACTCGAATGCTCTGCCAATAGATTGCAGTTTATAGAAATGTCGAGGGAACCAAGCTCCCAGGTGATTAAAGGAATTTCTTATCACAACGCCGGTAACATGCATGATGCTTCCCGACTCCCGAGGGGTTCTTGCATCGCGGTAAATAAACGGTGAACGGTGAGGGCGTACAACAGACGGGAAGGAGTTGGAGGATAGACTCGGCCAAGACGTCCCCAAAGGTTGTGGAGAAGGAGATTCTCCATCATAAAATCAACAACATCAAAATCATAAGATGATCCCATTGTGAACCTGCAAATAGATTAAAGTCTTCAGATATCGTCGTCTCCAAGAATATACGGATTCCACAGTTTTGAATTCGAAGAAACCTGGGATGATCCAACTGTTTTGGGGAATTTTTCTATTCTATAAGGATACAATAAAAGTTATTAAAGACACATCACTTGTAAGTGAGGGAAAGGCATGAAATACTACCGCTTTTGATGTTTGACAAGTTCTCTTCCGATGTTGTAGTGTAGTCTCATAGATGAAGTTCTATATTCTTTTAATATCCTGTCCCAAGGTTCGAGAATCAATCTTTCAAGGGTTGATGCCGAGACTACACCAATAGATAAGCTTTGCATGATCCATGCTTCAGATTCCATTTCATTCTTATCCAAATTTGGTTGTAGCGTTTACCATCATTATCCGTCTACCGGTCCAGAAGCGTTGCTTTGCTCGATATTCACAGATGAGAGAGGCGAGAGAGGACGGGAATATTAACAACCACCCTAGTTCAAATAGGTAATTAGTTTAATAAGTTAAGAACACCAGGAAGGTCGAATTTAATCCCCTTCGACCCTTTAATCCTTGTTCAAGGTACGTGGGCTATTTCACCCTCATTTTAACAACCCACCGAGATTCTTCAATTGGTGTGTTCCATAATTTTCCCAAGTGCTGTCATTTCATACCTGTTGGTAGATCGAGCGAGTATAAGGGAAAAAGATACCAGTACATCTAGCCACCTTTACTTTACACTTCTAATCCGTTATTAAGTCCTCTCATCCGCCTCTCTCTTCTCAAGAATCATCTCCAATTTATATCCAATTATACCCTTCAAACAAAATTCTATAGACTGACAACATGGCCGATATGTATGTATACCCTTCTCACGACATCAACCTTTGCCCCCTCATTCGCCACACGATCATCTGCACAATGAAATCTCCATTCGCTGCATCCTCGAGCTAATTGGTATTTGTAGCAACGTAGATGTTCTTGTTATTGGAGCTGGACCAACTGGTCTTGGAGCTGCAAAGCGTTTGAATCAACTTGTGAGTTTCTTTCTACCCAGCGATACACACCGCCAACTTGGAAGAACCTTTTGACTGATCACAATCGCAGAATACTGCATCATGGATGATCATTGATTCGAATGAAACTCCTGGTGGACTTGCTTCCACAGATACCACTCCTGAGGGCTTCGTAAGTTACTTCAATATTCAATGGCAAATGTGGCAAATACAATTCTCTAACTTTTTATTTACAGCTGTACGATGTTGGCGGACACGTTATTTTCTCACATTATAAATACTTTGACGACTGCATTGATGAGGCGTTGCCAAAAGAAGATGATTGGTACACACACGAGCGTGTCTCTTATGTCCGCTGCAAGAACCTCTGGGTTCCTTACCCATTTCAAAACAATATTTCCGTTCTGCCAAAGGAGGAACAAGTCAAGTGTGTTGATGGCATGGTTGATGCTGCATTAGCAGCTCGCACTGCTACTACCAAACCAAAGGATTTCGACGAGTGGATCGTTAGAAATATGGGCGAGGGAATTGCAAACTTGTTTATGAGACCATACAATTACAAGGTCTGGGCAGTCCCAACCACTGATGTTTGTATTCCTCTTTCACTCTGTCACACAAAATTATGCTAATGATACAAAAGATGCAATGTGCATGGCTGGGTGAGCGTGTCGCAGCTCCAGATGTGAAGACTGTCGTCAAGAATGTTATTCTCAACAAGACTGCTGGAAACTGGGGTCCTAACGCCACTTTCCGCTTCCCTGCTCGCGATGGTACCGGTGGTATTTGGATTGCAGTCGCAAAGACTTTGCCAAAGGAGAAGACCTTGTTTGGAAAGGAAGGAGAGGTTAAGAAAGTCAACGCTGATGCACACACTGTCACTCTATCCAGTGGCAAGACCATTGGCTACAAGAAGTTGATTACCACCATGGCTGTTGATCAACTTGTCGAGCAGATGGAAGACAAGGCACTCATCACTTTGAGCAAGGATCTGTTCTACTCAACAACCCACGTTGTTGGTGTTGGAATCAGAGGAGAGCGACCAGCAAACATTGGCGACAAATGCTGGGTAAGTTCTTTTCCACTTTTTTGTCTCGACATTATTTTCTGCCAGAGCGGTGACCCCTCAAATTTATTTGCTTAATTCCGAGTATCACCCGATTTCACGTGCTGACATTTTCCACAGCTCTACTTCCCAGAAGACGACTGCCCATTCTACAGAGCAACCATCTTCTCAAATTACTCCCCACACAACCAACCTGAGAAATCGGTCAAGCTCCCTACCTTATACCACGCAGATGGAAGCAAGCCAAAGTCTTCTGAGGCTCAAGAGGGCCCTTACTGGTCTATTATGTTGGAAATCTCCCAATCCACCAAGAAGGCAGTCGATGTTGAAAACATCCTTAGAGATTCCATTCAAGGTCTCATTAACACTGAAATGATCAAATCTACCGATGAGATCGTCTCCACTTATCACAGAGCTTTCGGTAAGAATCTTCTTCAACTTTATTTACATACCGACATATGCTAATCTCTACTATAGACCACGGCTACCCAACCCCATCCCTCGAGAGAGAAGGTGTCTTGACTCAACTCTTGCCAAAGCTCCAAGAGAAAGATATCTATTCCAGAGGGCGTTTCGGTTCATGGAGATACGAAGTTGGAAACCAAGATCACTCGTTCATGTTGGGTGTTGAGGCAGCTGACCACATTGTGAACGGAGCTGTTGAGCTTACTCTCAACTATCCAGATTTCGTTAACGGCAGAAAGAACACTGAGAGAAGACTCGTTGAAGGAGCTCAGGCTTTCCAAAACAAAGATTTACCTTCACGTCTCGCCAACTAGGTGTACGTTCAGAAATTTGGAAGAAGAATAGAGGAGTCGAGAGACCGGGAAGAGTTTACCGAAAATTACTGTATACCTCTCACCTTTGGTGAAGTTTGAGAGGATGCATTGTTATGCACCTAGATTTGTCTGGAATCTGCTGGCTGGTGTTTGCTTATTGCGACTTAGATACACACATATGCGATTTATACTCGTATACTAGTTTTGTTATTGAAAAATAGATAGCGAGAGTTTTACTTTGAAGAGCTTGTTTTTTTGCTAGCTACTCTTTAGAAATAGATTCCAAATAGAACGAATTTATATTTTATGATCATAGTCTTCTTGACGCTTTGATCATTGCGATCGAAGAGCTAGTCGCCTTTCTTGTGATTGTCATGATTTGATCTCATCGCATACCCCTCCCCCAGAGATTGCAGGCAAATGTACTTGTACTGAATTGTATGGATTGGGTATACACACGAATATATGCGTGCGTTCAGAATAGTGTTTATGAATAGAGTGCGGATTGATAATATGCTACAGGATATAAACTAATGCGAGTTCATTCATCCAAAAGACCCTAATAGGTAAATAAACAGAGAAAAAAACGAACCGAGTAAACAACCGGAGTAAATATCGAATAAACTAGAGGCACTACCACATCCAACGTAAATAGCAAACTCATCCACCAATACAATCAAATCCTCCCACGCTATGCTCAATCAAGTTGCTCCTCCTTATCCAATCTCATCTCATTCTATCCTACTCCACCCTTTCACAGCGTCGCGCCCGACCCCGGAAACGAAGAAAATTGAAACTTCGACTGATCCGGATCCATCAATTGCGGACAGTCTCCAATGGAGCCCAAAACGCCCTCGGTCGTCGACGACAAGATACCCAGCGGCTCGGTGATATCGCTAAAGACATTTTTTAGAAAATCGGGCGCGGTCAATTGTGCGTTTTGGAGGAGGAAGCAGGCGAGATTGTTGCCTTCGAAGAGAGATTCGAGGTTGTAGACGCCGCCGGTGAGATCGGAGAAGTCGACGCCGGTGAAGGAGTTGACGGTGCCGGTGTTGCCGCCGACGGTGAGGGTGTTGGGGTATTCGGATGCGCTTTTGGGGGAGGGGAGGTCAGTTATGTTTTTTGGTTCTTTGGTTGTGGGGGCAGGAGGAGGGAAAGAGGGATGGGATATACAAATATAAGATATCTTCTGTTAAGCTTAGAATGCCATATTCGTCACCAATAGCTCGTCGTCCCCAACCAGGTGGAATGCGTTCCCATCCGTCTTTCTTTTCGAAATATCCAGTCTCTCCAGTGACGCCAAAGAAACTCTTCAGGTTGAACTGGTCTAATATCCCCTCTGGGTGCGCCGCAGTATGATTTGCCATGAATCTATAGATAAAACTCTGCGCCGCATTACTGACCGCCATGCCCACGAAAGGACCATAGAAGAAATACGGATTTGTGCGGACACTTCTCTCGAAAGTGATTTGGCGAAGCTGCGACATGATGCTAATATCGTAATTGGCAGTCTCTTTATCTGGTTGCAGATCAAATAGTTCTTGAAATTGAGGCATTTGAAGAACCCAGGCGTTACCATAGACAAAAAGGTCGCCGCGAGTGGGTGAGGTATCGCCTTCATATTTATTGTGCGAGCCGATTAGACCTTGAGGAGCACCAAGTAGACCGAAGAGATTGTCGAGAATATTTTGTCCTTGAGTAGGGCTTGCACCAATACTCCAACCTGGATTGAGAGAGAGAGGGTTGCCGTCCATGACAAGGCCGTAGACCGTGAGGAATATGGCCAAATCTGCTCCCTTCGGAACGGTTAGTATCGATCTGCAGTTCTTAGAAGTGTAATCCTTACCATTCCAAATACTTTTTCATTGGCATCAATTATTTGAGAAATGGTAGCAAATCCATTGTGAGGTATAAAGCCATGGTTCGCCAACGCGTTCAAGCCTGGACAAGGACCTCGCTAATGAAAGTATTAGAATCGATACTGTTGACTCACTATAGCACAAAAAATGCGGAGGTCTGAAGGATTAAACCCACCATATCTTTAGGGCTGGGGGGTACAAACGCATGCTCCCCGGACACATTTATAATTTGAGCAGCAGCATTGAACCCAGGCGAGCTGCGTTTTGCACGTCTTTCTTCATATGCAGCTTTGGCTAATGAAGCGATCTTGGAGTTTATAGTAGTTGCCTCGAAAGCTTTAGCAGGAAATGCGAGTGTTTGTATGGGTAATACAGATAAAGCAATGAACGCTAGGAATTTGATCTTAGATACCATTTTGCATGTGTAAGAAAGTGCCCAGATGATTATTCAAGGGAAGAGAGGTTTATGTTTGATAGTAGAGAATGGGGGAGGAAGCGAGATCTTATACTGCCGCAATCACTTCAATTGACGACAGTAAGAGTTACATACATTGCTATTCTCTACTCTCTATAACCTTCACAATCGAAATTTACGGATACATCGAAATGTAGAAACCTACTTGGGTCACTCAATCAGCCAAATGAATAGTTTGTCACCCCGAGATATAGGTCTGATAGAGATACTTCTCGCCATTACGTTACATCAACGTCGGGCCAGCCTCATCCTTCGCTGGAGCCGAGAGAATCGGAAAGATAACTATCCGCTTGAAAAAAGCATTGTACCAAAGCTTTAGCTACGTCGATGATTCGCGATAATGACCTCATAGTCACAATTGATGCCACACCAAACCTCCATCAGTACAGGGGGGATGCATGAAGTAAGAAGATCACGAGCAAAGTGTACGGATATCTATGTATAGTTCGAAATATTTGGGAAACCCAAAAAAAAGAAAGTAAGTAGTAACGTGATGATGTTACACCGGAAGTTTGCCTCGAGCTATGGCGCAAGCTTCTCCTGTCCATGACGAGCGAAAGATAACACACTTGTTTCACCTGAATAACATCACGTAACACAGAAAATGGTGGTAGACCGTCGGTAGGCGGAATGCAACCGTCGTGACACTTTTCTAACGTTGTCTTGCCGGGGTATTGGAACGTGCGATGGGCCAATGTTTCAATGTCTCTCGCTTGTATTCCCATCTAATCCTCCATTTCCGAAGATTCATTCACTTCTAGTGCAAAAGGAGATCTCGGTTATTTCGGGTTGTATGTATCCGAATGTTAGTGTTTGATTAATTTGTCCGTCTAATGTTTATTTGAAAGAGGAATTTATATTGTTAACCCAACGAGCACGATTTGATCACGGTTGTGACGATGGTATTTTCGCTTCGAAATAAACTGTTCTCGTGCCATCGAATCTTAACGTAACCCACATTCGTGCAATCCACCCTTTCGATGCCCAGCCTCAAGGCCCAGATGATCAAACATGTCGAATAATCCTTCGCGGCCGTCCAATGCGGCCGGAAGATCGAAGTCTATCTTTCTTCAAGTGGCCCTAGAGAACTCAGCTTAAGCTCAAAATTGATGATGATTCGTCGGTTCCGCATACTTTTCCGTAGCTTTCCGAAGCAAATATTGTTTTTGCTATCTTAGAAAGAACGATGTAATGATAGAACGGCTACTATCGATATATCGAAGGATTGGTAAGGAATTCCAACGATAGTTCTGCTCGCGCAAGTAGTGAGCGTATCCTTGAGGATCACTTAGGAGCTTGCAGTATGAATACCTCGCTTCCTCTGCTCCCTATGTTACCAGATTGAATTGCTGATGACGCCATGCCATTTATCGGATTGCTGTCTGTCTGTCCGTGGCGTTCTTCCTCTACCCTGCGCACCGCATCATCGTCATCAGATTTAAGTTCGCCTACAATACTTCCCCTCCACTGCGGTTCGCGCATATGTGGCACCAAGTTTGAATTCGATTCAATCGCATCAGGAACGGTATTTATGGATAGCACTTTCGTCAAATTATGAGAAAACCTCTGGATTTCCGGCTTCTCAGTTACTTTGGCGAGCAGAAGAGCTGCATATTGACGTTGAGAGTTCGGTGTCTGGCTCAATGTCCTCACGAACATATCAAATGGGTCTTGGCAAATGCCATATATTTCGTGTGGAATTTGTGATCCATAAGCTTGCATAACGTCTACCATAGAGTTACCAATCTCGAAAATCTTCTCGAAGATACCCATTCCATGGACTTCTATACTTGCTATGGGTACTGAGGATATGACACTCAGGAGAGAGTGAGCGATGTCTAGAGGATATCGAAAAGTCATGCTTTCATCGACGGCAGTGGAAGAGAGCAAGCCTTGACGCATTGAAGATTGCCAAACAATCAAGCGAAGCCATTGCTGGGTGACGAGAATATCAGCTTTCTGTATGGTAGTAAGGGACAAGTGAGAAGGGTGAGGAAGATTTAATTGTTGTTGAAGCGCTGTATACGTAAGAGTCGAGACTGGCGCATCAGAGGCTTCGTTCCAAGAATCTACAAAGCTAGAGTCTAGCAGATGGTAAGATTGTACTAGGTGCATAAACCCAGAATGAATTTCTGGACTTTCATAATCGTGTAGAGTTGAGGGCAGAGCTGGTGTCTTCGAAAAGGTAAGAGGCTTGTGACGTAGAATCGCAAAAGACCTAAGGCCAATTTAGAACCTCATATCTTTGGATGGAGTGGACTTACCTTTCTGTAACATATAGAATCCAAAATGTTCGTCTACGACACAGTTCTTCAGCAGGGTGAAGACCAGAATATTTATGCTCTTCATGCAATCCTATATCTTGAGCCATTGTCATTGCTTCTCTCAAATAGTACCAAGATTTTCTAGACTGATTCAGTTCGAAAAATGCAGTCGATACGAAATATGAAGATATAACAGCAGACAACGATTTGTCTTCGATGAAGTCATAAGCCTGTCGAATCATGATACACTCGTCAAGGAAGAATCTTCCAGCAATTTCCCACGAAGGAGGTCCTGGAGCTGATATGCTTTTACCCGACATATGGGTTGAAGTGATGGCACATAACGAGTAAAGAAGGTTTTTCTCGTGCATTTCTAATGGCCGATTTATCGAGGCTCGTAGAGTGGGCATATGCACTAGAGGCATAATTGGGTAAATATGCTCAAGAAAAAGATCAAGGCATTTCGGGATTAGATACATGTAGCTAATACATATGGGCCTAAATTGATCGGTCGTAAATATACTATTTGGCTCATCACTGAAAATGGTCGAGATATCCGACATGATGGGATCTTGTGCAAGTCTTCCCACATATGTTTGGGCGGCGGAAGAGCTAGCAGTATCCGAAACCCAATGGTCGATATCCACTCTATAATACTTATCAGCTGATGGACAATTGCCAATGGGATGGTATAGAGAGAATTTTCCCACAGGTTACAATCCCCGTGACGATTGTTGAAGTTTGACCAATTTCAAACATTTCTTCAATACCTTCTCGAGTTCAACAGTCCTTGCCAGCCTGGGATAATACAACTTGCTTTAGGAGAACTACTTGAAATTACTCACGAGCCTGGACCGGTACTGCTTCCACCCAAGCCCGAGACACGGACTTCCGCAAAGTTTTCGATATCCCCGCCATCTTGAGCTCTCAATTCATTGATCACTCTACCATTTCCACGTTTGGGTCCCCTTCTCTTCGGTATGTGTTCTCTTTTGCATGCTAATGATGCATTCCCGCATTGCTTACATGGGAAATTCCCATCACATCGTATTCCTTTGATTGGTCAATGCTCGGAACTCCTTTACTGCATCAAAAAGTGTGGGTATCTGCAAAAGACTTACTTCTTCTTCGACAATGATCACAAACTTTCCTCAGCGTCGATATACTTGTATACTCTGGAGGCATTCCAACTCTTTAATTTGCATCCAAGTCGCCTTATGGTCATTGAGGGATATTTGAGCATACAATTTGACGGTAAAAGCTCAAAGTTCGGGAGTTGTAAGTTTGTCAGTCCGTTGACGTTTGCAAAAGCGGGGCGGATGAGCTAAGCCTTATATAGACTAGCATGAACTGACCACAAGAGAAGTGGGATTTGTACTACGACGACGATATTGAAAACTCAAATTGTCAGAGTGTTTTATTTCATGAGATATCTTACAAGTGAAATGATGTACTTCGTCATTTGAAAAGAGGCCCCGATGATTATGCGATGCGAGAACACGCGGTAATGCAACAATAACGGTATTCTTCAGTTCGAAGCTTCCAGTTTGCGAAGAGACTTTCACAAGTACATATTTGGTGCTATAATTTCAGCAACGAAACCAATGAAAATGGCTCGACTTTCGAGATTCCGGCGGTCGAAATCGATGGTCGACAAGTCTTCTTCCGCAAATGCTTAAGGCAAAGGTTGTTGAAGTGCCGGTAGAATGTAGCCAGGCACAGCACGTCAAGATCTTCTATGAATGCCATTTCTTGAGCCTTCCTGGTGTCCCAAGGCCATAGTTCTCGCTTCGGGGGCCGTTAGTTGACTGTACGACTTGACGACAGGATCCTGGCATGAGTGTGCATGTGTGTTGGTATAATGTTCTCTGTTCGCGATGGACTCAAGGTAGGAGATAATACAGGTACTACCTACATAGAGTCAGGTGTCGCTTCTACAAGACAACTCGAAACTAGTAACGATGAATCCAATGTGATGTGACTGTAGCAATGACTGACTGTTCAATGAAGGCTCGATTCTTCAAGTCATAATGACGATTCAATCCAAATCTCAAATCGGCAAGTTAGCCTATATTGAGGCATCATGAAACACAGTCATAAGGAATCATGAATGAATCAATGCCTTCATGATTCTGATTCTGCTTTACTATGGGTTTGTGAATGTGAGAGTAAGAACCCCTATGGAAATTTTCCTTTACTTAGACATTGGTACATAGATTTACTGGCGATTCTCCGAACAGATTCAAATACAACAATCCCAAGTTAATTTTTCAGAACAAAATAGGGTCAGTTCGGCATCTATACTAGAACATCTGTCATGTTATCATCAAATATTTATTCTTTAAACAATTTGCAGCATTGCTTCTCCTCATCTCCTTGAAACTCTCAAAATCATCGGCATCATTCCAACGTCTCCGGAAGACAACAGAACCATGGAAAACTCAACCACAAACAAAGATCACAAAGGCTTAGCCAAGCCGAAGTTCAGGCTATTGCATTTGGAATCTGGAACTGGAAACCAACAACTTTGTGCGACGATCCATGTCGAGGACATAGACATTGCAGCCGCCAATGGTTACATCTGCTTGTCCTATGTCTGGGGTACGGAAATTTCCACAGAACACATCAAGGTTGACGGGGACGAAATTTCTATCCATGAGAGCTTACTTACTAGTCTTCGGCACATCAGAAAGCCGCAAGAGACGTTAGTTCTTTGGATTGATGCTCTATGCGTAGACCAAAATGATCTGGATGAGAAAGCTAGTCAAATAGCAAATCTAGGAGAGATATTTTCGAGGTGCTCACTTGTTTACATATGGCTTGGAGCGCCACCCAATAATATTCCTGCCACAGGGAATCCGTTTCAATTGATTCAAAACTTTTCGGATAACAAGCACCATCATGAGTTAGTTGGGTACTACAAAGCAAATTCTGGATAGATTTTTTTGGGGAAGAACAGTGAATTCAACGATCTCTGGGACAGATTTCTGCTAGTAGCCAATAGCACCTGGTTTACGCGATCATGGACTGTTCAAGAGGCGGTTTTATCTCCCAATCCTGTTTTATGCTACGGGAATTGGCGTTCGAGTCTTGACACGTTGATCTCGGCTCGAAGAAACCGTAAATGCCATACTTTTAATGAAACACAATACTGCAAGAACAGTCTCGGGTCATGTTCTAGATTCAAAATCACAACCCTTGACCAATTTTTCTTGCAGATTGAATTGATTGAAAGATACAGGCAAGGTTATTCGTTGCAAGATCACTCTCTCTACTACCAGAACACGATACGAGCGTTTCCAGAGTTAACACGTCGCCCTTTCTATGAAATTGTTCTGACATTCTCAAATAGAGTTTGTATGGAGCCGCGGGATAGAATATTCTCGGTTCTTGCTATGGCTCAGTCATTGACCATGAAGTCGTATCGGCCTAACTACAGCGCCAAATTGACCGAAGTGTACACAGAAGTGTTCAAACTGATGCTGCAAGAGACCGGTAATGATTATCGATGCATGATAGGACCTGCATTTGGTTCGGATCATTCAAATCTCCCTTCATGGGTTCCTGATTTTTCAGTTACCATACCGCTCGTGGAAGTCGAAGCTGTGATCCGAAGAATCTCATCATCCACGTTGTGTGAGGCTTCGGGTAAAAAATTCGGAGAATTTCAAATTCACGGACCAGAACTCTCAGTATCAGGCCGGTGGCTAGACACGATTTCGATCGTAGGTTCCTTACTGCCGACTGTCAATATTCCGGCGGAGTCGCTGAAGAGTATACTAATGAATTGGAAAAGCTTATGTGAAAGTATATTAGGAGCTTGTAGAGAGGTTTCTGCTCGCATAGCTCTATCCCGTGCCATATGTGCTTCCAAAATAGCTGACGGAGTGTCTCTGTATGGACGTCACCGTGGATGGAGACAAATCAAGACAAGCGATCTTCCCAGTATGGAAGAGTGGAACCAATTCTTGGGCGGAGATGTGTGGACGTTACAAGAAGAATACAGAAGGGCATTTGAGATAGCCAGCACGGGTCGTTGCTTCTACGTCACCAGAAACGGAAAGATGGGCCTTTGTTACCCGCAGGTAAAGACTGGCGATCAGGTCTGGGTCTTGAATAATTCCAACTCGCCTTCCGTATTGAGAAAAGTTGACAGTGAAAGTAGTAATGCTCGGCTGTATAGGTTTATTGGGGATTGTTATCTTGACGACACAATAGATGAAGAGGTTGTTAAAGAAACGAAGGAAGGAAGCTGTATCACTCTAGTTTGAAACTTTCAAACATTTGGTTGATCATGAGCATGGGTAATTTGTACACTACCGATAGTGAATTAGCAAAATCTGACCAAACATACATTTACAGTTTAACTTTACTCATGCCTCATGATTCATAAACATGACTCTTCAGATATTCCTTTCAGCCAAGTCACACATATAACATTAAGAATAATCCATGAGGGTAAATAAACAAAATGGAATCAAGCCCTCCTCCGCACTAGTATCAATCTCATCGAGAATCACAAAACTCCCATCTTGAAAGGTCATTTTATTGCCTGCAAGTCAGAAAAACAATTTTAAATCCCAACTTGCATTTAAAGATCACAACAATTTGATCCTGACACCAAAATCTTCACTATCTTATCGCACCGTTGCTTTCCGACCCCTCAGGATATTCTTGGGCAATTATATCATCGAAACAACGACCATGTCCCCAAATCCTCCTCACTTTACCGCCATTGAGATGACACAACAGCCTGCTGCATCCACAACATGCCAAACCGGCGCAGGTTCCACAAGACAGGAGAAACCACATCATTCGAAATCGACAAAAAGAGATACGATTTTCGAATATAAGATTCAGGGTGGACGTACGCTTGAAGAGGGCATCAATGGGTTGAAAAACGGGACAGACATGGTCGTTCTTTATAAGCCAGCCAAGCGGGAGCAGAATTAGAAGATGACTGGAGAGGCATGAGAATTAATGGGACGCGTAAAGACAGGGCGGTGTAGATGTTGTTTATGGGTGGGAGTTTCAGCAAATACACTGAGTTTCAAGGGGAGAAGACATCATTGCTTCTTTTCAAAAACAGGCAGGAGGAACTATGACTGAGACATAGAATTTGCTGAAAATCAACCATCATAACGGCAAAAGTAATACCTTGTGGTATTAAGGGCGACATATCTACAAAATATATGTAAACCTCGTATATATCAGTTTAGGCTTCATGCTGGGATTTAAGTGAGTTATGTTTGATCTGCTTGTAAGGTGATACAGTTGGTATGATACAAAATTGAGCGACACAGCTTATGGCTGAAGACCCCCTTTGACTATGATAGACTTGTCTCTCTCGGTATCCCTTGATATTCAGCAGTTGAAAGCCAGACCAACTTCCTCGAATTTATTTAGTACTCAAATTCGCGCAGTCGTGTTTGTCTATCCGCGAGTATTTATTCCGGGACTTGAATTGAACTTCCATTTATCATCCGAAATAAGCACAGCACACTCGTACCATTCGCATGTAAGATACTGATCACACAACGAGATTAAGCAGAGATAGAGCCGGCCAAATTTGTTCTTGAGCCAAATTTCATACATGATACACCCAAATCAGATTCAGAGTCCAGATACCCCTCTCTCTAGACAGAAAAGCATCGAAAGTGGGGTTTCCAAATGAACTCATGCCAATTGTGTCACAATTGTTCATTCCGCGAGGGAAGATAACCAGCAATTTACCTACAGAATGTTCTATCTAGTATCTACAATAGAGAGATCAACTTAACATCTCTTTCCACACCATCGCAAAACAATTTTTCCGTCTCTCTCATCTCAAAAATCAAGGGACCAAAATCTAGACTCACAAGTTCGTGTTCGCGACCCACTGATTTACATCGTCTACCTACAATGTGGAGTCGTCGTCTCGGTACTTACGACATTTCGTAAATATGAAACGCTTACACCTCGAAATCAGATCCACTGATCTACACACATCCAAATCTCAATAAGATTTTGAGACAATAAGGGCAAACAAGCCTTATTTGATGACATACTCATCTACCGGTATACGTAGGGTTTTCGGAGAAATTGAGAGACATATTTTCTACCCTATATGTGATGACTTGGCGTAGATCTGATCTCATGGGTGTTTGGAAGCCTTTGTGGTACGAGGCGCGCGTCCGTGGAGAAGAAGGTTTGAGATAGAAGATTTGGGGTTCCAGAAGAGTTAGAGAAGTATGTTTGATGAACGGATGTTTCCAATCTAGTAATTCGAGGAGATCATTCGAGACTGTGACCTTATTTTTGACACGTTTGTCATTTGAGCCTTCCGGATAGAATTAGACTGTTTCCGAGTACAACATTTATTTTGACAGGTGAAGACTATTTAATGTGAGCCGGAGTGAAAGGGGCCTCGCTTAATTGAGCAGGAAATCCATTCCCCACGACCTACCGTTCTTGGAGGATATCAATGTTGTAGTACAATTTGACGCTTTGAAATACACGTGTTTTGCACGGTGTTTTCATGCTGCGAGCTACGATGTACAAGTCTGATGCTGTGTACACACAAAGCGGAAGTTTGAAATTCGTGTCATTGTTCCGTCGGGGGATTGTTGCCGAAGAAAGGCACGTCGCCGTTCGGGATTGAACCTGCAGTAAGTAGTACTGGAAGTAAGATACATAAAAAAGTTGATGATGGAATGGTAACATGGACATGTTGTCGGATCAACACCGATAAGAACTGTTAGATGTCGTAATTGCAACGTTCCTATCCTATCAATAGCTATCTCAAATTTTCCGGGTAGATGTAGGTCAAATTGTAGGCTTAATAATATACATGCAATCTGTATCATATATCTCAACTGCCTATGGACAATGCTTTTGTGACGGGTAAGATTGGGTCGCCAAGACTGGTCTCTCGTCCCGAAATGTATGCAGCTATTTTCCGTTTCGAGTGTTACCGAAGGGCCAAAATATCTTGTTACTATCCCGTTCCAGAATGCATCCTCCCATTTCTAATCAAATCCACATGTGGTAGAAATCCCTTTGAAAGATTCATCACCTCATTTCATCTCTAGGTTTCCTTGGCCATGTGCGATCCAGTAGCATTCGCATACACGATCAAATTTCCTTTTCTCAACCGTACCTGCAGTTATTCACAAAATGCAATCAAAAAACATATTAAACAACGATATGAATTCATCACAATTTACCGCTTTGAGATGAACCATCACTTAATTCGAAACACGATCTCCACTAGACCCCACGTACAAATCGGGTAATCTCTCACAATCTAATCTAACAAACCTTGTGCCAGACAAGGATCTGCAGCCCTGCCGAACACGTCCATTGCCCAATCTCTCGGATCATCTCCGTTCGAGAAACGCCAGACCTAAAAGGGGGTAAAGAGCGATAAGTGCGATCTTGTTTTGATTTCGTGATTTTTGAGGAACGTCTAGAATTGGGGTCAGGAAATCATTTGGGTAGCTTGTGGCTTGAAGTTATGTAAATTTCAATCTATATGCTACAAGGCCTGGTACTGATTAGAATGTTTATTCTCCAATTAGGTTGTTTTTTATAGTGCTTTGCTTACCTTTTTAAAATTATATAGATTGAATATAACACGGCTGGTAATATGTGATGAAGAAAGAAAGTTTCCCGACAATACGAAAACAGCATAATTGACAATGTATAGATCCTTGAGTAGCCATGAGGGAAAGACGAGAGATCCATGCTCTTGCACCACCGTGGTATTCGTACTGTATGTAGCAAAACACGTTGACAGATCGACTTTGGAGCGGATATCCTGATGAGGATATGATACACCCATGGTAGCATCCCGAATGTGAACGTTCCACGATGCACGAAATTGCGGAACCCTGCTAATAAGGCTAATTCGAGCCAGGAGACCTTCAAATTTGACAGTGCAGGTCGAGACCATAGTCGAAGATTGGCAGATTGAAAGCTTGGCAAAGTTCCGTTCTTATCTTCTTACCCCTCTTCTAATCCATCGCTAGGTAAGGAGGAAGCAATGGGATGAGTTGCGATACTCTGCATTGACTCTAACTCGTGCGAAGCTTAATACGTTAGAACATGCACTGTACCTGGCCTGTAGCCACCCTTTTTGCTTTTTCCTGTACGCATGATACCGAAAGGTATCTGTACGCGCCCATTGATGTATAAACTACTGCACAACCATGTTGCTTTCTAACTTGGTGAAGATTGTAATTACATACACTTTAGCTCAACAAAGGTTAATATATAAGCCGTGAGAACCCCTGCTTACCATTTCCGCGCTGACCACGGTTCGGTTCCCTGCGCGCTGAAGCACGCATAATTATATTCGTTATTTCTCTACTGTTTAACTTCAGCCTGCCATTTAATACTTGCGGCTCTTATTAAACATGGGTCTTGATGACCATTTCCTCTTCCGGGTCCAGACCAGGATGAAAGTACGCGTTTTTGGTTGAAGTGGCTGACTGAGGAAGAAGTAAGTTTTTCCTGCCTTCATTAGGCTCCATGACGCACTTGGCACGATTCTTGACGCCTGAACACTTTGAATTGGGAAATTTGGAACGAAGGATTCTTGAGATATTGCTTATTTGAATTTGATTTCTCATTTGGGGCGATTTGCCTATGTTCTTGACACAATGTGCAGGCCAACCCCGTAGGTCCTTCTTTGGCACCTGACTACCTATGATTGGTTTCCCACGCACCTCAATCTCCTGACTAGAGACCTGAACCTTTATATTTACCTGCCCGGATTGGGATATACATCCACCACAAGATTGAGAATAGAAATAAGTATGTACATGTAATTTGAACCAGCCCTGTGAATTCCAGTGCCGGGATTGAAGAGAAATTGTGTTGCTGAGACACAGAACCAAAATTTAAAGATAAAAAAGAAGACTAGAAGGGATCAGTGATACAAGAATTGAATTCCCTGTCAACAGGTAATAAAGATGATATACAGAATGTAAAAAAACGCCCTAGAAAAGAGCTCGGTGCGCAGAAGGTAAAGTGTTAAGTAAAATTCAAAGGTAAAAGGCGCGCAAAGTAATGGGTATCCTCTAAACAATCAATATCGAAGCGAAGAAGAGAAGAGAAATTGAACATCTGTATATGGACAAAGCATATTCGATGATGATGAATTGAAAAAAGTTGTAAAATCTTGTGGCTTTGGGGAAATTCGTTGGCGAATAGTATTTCCGGTTAAGTAAATGATCGGCAGGTCTTTGAAACGTGTTTAATTTCTTCCATCGTTTCGCTTTCCAGAACGTCGTGCCTCGTCTCCCTCCATGGTCCTTTCATCGCGTCCAATCTCCGACATTCCAGAGTAGTGACGTTCTCGGTCTCGCTGAGACTGACTTTGTTGGCTTTGGGTTTGAGAGTGCGCGCGTGGTCTAGAATCGCTTTGTTCGAGCAAAGATGACACGGTATTCGAGCCGCCTGAATGCCTGCGTGGCTCTGCAGACCTTGAAGCTTGTTCTTGGCTCTGTGAGTGAACTGGTGAAGTTAGGCTTTGAGTACTGAAACCACTTTCAGTGTGTCTATGGCGACTCGAAGGACGGCCGTATGAATCAGCTCCACGGGCTGAAACGTCACTTCGGTTCCTTGAATGCCCACGGCGTCTGCTTGATGGCGTACCTGACACCGAAGATCCTGTCTGTGAGAACGAAGGGGAAGTATATTGTGGCAGTGATGTTGGATGCGGGGCTGGTTGTTGCGGCCCTGTCGCTTTTCGTTTCTTTGGTGAAGAAACATGGTCTAGTCAAACATTAATACAATGAATAAAAGGAGATTTATAAAAGCTTGCCTGAGGGTGTCGGAGGCTGATGGGTGCTGCTCGTACCTGCTTGTGATGTGGGTGGTTGCCAATGATGAAAGTAAATTGAGGGCGAAGACTGGGGCTCTTGTTGCTGCTGGGCGCTTTGCGATTGTGCTAATGGATGACCCGATTG